GGAGAATCGCTTGAACCCGGGAGGCGGAGGTTGTGGTGAGCCAAGATCGCGCCATTGTACTCCAGCCAGAGCAACAAGAGCGAAACTCGGTCTCAAAAAAAAAAAATTTTTTTTAGAACAATTGTTGTATTCTTTTCATTTGTGATAGCCATATAGTATATTATTTATAAGAGCATATGACCTTACACACAAGATTAAAGGCAAACAACCTCTGGGGTGGGCCTAGCTCAGCTCACGGAGGAAGCCTTGCCTGAAAAGGCTGCAGCCTAGGCGGTCACACTTCATTCAGCCCAGCATCTGATCACATCTTCTGTCACTCAGGGTCTGAAGGGGCGGGTCTTAAACATTATCCAATCAGGGACTCTGAGCTAGGGGACAGTTCAATCAGACACGCAGCTGGACCGGACAGGGCGGCTTCCGGGTTTGGCGCGGCCTTTGTCTCTCGCTTCAGCCGGAGCTCCAGGTCTCGTCTTCGCTGCTCTTTGTCCTCTGCTCTTAGAGGCCCAGACTCTGTGGCTCTGTGACCGACAGGCATTGGGAGATCCACGGCTAAGACGCCAGGACCCCCTGGAAGCCTAGAAATGGTGAGAGTGCGGTCCGACATCCCGAGAGAGGGGAAGGGCTGGTTGAAACCGGTGGGAAGTGGCTGTGGCGGGACTCAGGCCTCCCCGCAGTCATCTCCACAATCTGCGCCCCGAATTCTCCTTGCCCAGCTGGATCTCAATCCCCTTCAGCCATAAGATGGCGGCTGCTCCGACAGCCCGGCCCCCGGGCATCCTGTCTATTCCCTGCATAGTGACCGTGCCCAGGTCTGGAGCCTTCTCTCGACAGCTCTGCACGGGCAGCGCGGCGCCTTTCCCAGATTATGCACGGACCATGGGAGGGTCGTCAGGGGAGAATCCTGACTTGGGGTGCGGATTCATGAATGGGAAGAGCTTTGGTATGTGGAGTTCCCACATGCTGTTTTCTCATGTTAAAAACGGTGGCAGTCATCGCAAAAAATATTAAAGAATTTAATCAAAGAGTGATTCAATAATTGTAGAGCACAAAAGTATGTTTTGTAGTTTGTGGTTCATGGGAGGAGCTTGAAGGAAAGACTTTTATAAGGTACATGATGAAGAAAACTATATTTAATAATTCGTTAGGTACAGTTACGTAGCAGTTTTTGTTAAGTAGAAACCCTGGGACTAGAGCCTCCTCAGTGTAATTGCCTGCCCCTTAATTATTCTCACACTCCACAGGGGACTGATTTTTCCACTGCATTTTTCACATGCGTTCCCAGCAGGGTCTCAAGTGTACTTCCCAGCCCCATTCCTTCAGCCTAACTCTGGCCTGCAGTTAGATTTAAACTGCAAATAAACTAAAATACGAAATTTCCAGTTCCTTCTGACATTTCCAAATGCCAGCTTCTCTTTCCTAATTCACGTTCTCAACTGTTTTTCCTTTAGTGTACGTTTTTGATACTGTATTTTAGTTAATCATTTTTTGACAAAGCATTGGATGGCACTTAAAATTGTTTTCTGTTTGAAAATAGTTCTCATGAGAAGAAAGCAAAAAATAATTCCCTGACACTGTATTTTATGAAATTTCTATGCCTTTTTTTTTTTTTTTTTTTTTTAATCTTCCTTAGGCACAGAAATCTTATCAGAATGTTTTCGGGTGAAGGTTTTTGGAGGTATGGAGTGTAGCTTCTCAAGGGAGTAGGTGGATGCCCTGGGGCTAAGAGGCATCTCCTGGCATACTCTTCCTTTGAAAAGCTAACCCCTTGAGACATTTTGTGTTCACCCAACCCAGCTTTCATTTCTTGGAGACACAATGCTGGTCAGCCAATCAGATGCTGGTATTGAGGGGAAAACACGGAAATAATTTCTGCCCTCTGAATTCTCTGAATTTTGTGGGGGAAAAAAAAGGTATCCCAAAAGACAAAGAAAAACCTGACCCAAGTGAGATGGTGCAAGAACTTACAAAGTAAAATGCACCTGGGGCATAGTGTAACGTCTCCTGAGAGGGTGGTTATTGAGCACTTAAGGTGAGCAGACTGGGGCAGGTGAATATCAGTCAGACACATCTGTTTTCTTTCTTTTCTTTCTTTCTTTCTTTTTTTTTTTGAGATGGAGTTTCACTCTTGTTGCCCAGGCTGGAGTGCAATGGTGCGATCTCAGGTCACCGCAACCTCCGCCTCCTGGGTTCAAGCAATTCTCCTGCCTCAGCCTCTCGAGTAGCTGGGATTACAGGCATGCACCACCATACCTGGCTAATTGTTTTGTATTTTTAGTGGAGACGGGGTTTCTCCATGTTGGTCAGGGTGGTCTCGAACTCCCAACCTTAGGTGATCTGCCCGCCTTGGCCTCCCAACGTGCTAGGATTACAGGAAAGAGCCACCGCGCCTGGCCTAGACACATCTGTTTTCTAATTAGCACTATCACTCCCTGGGTTTGTCACCTTGAAAAGATTTGTTCACTTATGTTGACTTCCATTATTTAACTGTAAATTGCATTTTATTAGTAGGACTTGAGAGGTAAGAAAATATTAACAAGGTTCATAAAAGAGGTGGATTTCAGATAAAAATTAATATTAATCATGTATTTTACTTGTAAGAAATTCTCATTTAACTTTTCCTTTCTTAGCGTAAGTTTAGAAATGTTCTCAGGTGTATTTTTTCGTGAATATATATATAATCAAGTATATATATACACATTTATATTTATATTTAATATGGACTCTTGCTCTTGTTGCCCAGGCTAGAGTGCAATGGCACAATTTCAGCTCACTGCAACCTCTGCCTCCCGGGTTCAAGCGATTCTCCTGCCTCAGCCTCCCAAGTAGCTGGAATTAGGGGCGCCACCATGCCCAGCTAATTTTTGTATTTTTAGTAGAGAGCGGGATTTCTCCATGTTGGCCAGGCTGGTCTTGAACTCCTGATCTGGACACACAGAGAGAGAGAGAGAGAGAGAGATATATGTAAAATATAATATATACATATATAATATATATAAAATAATATATACATATATAATATATACACATATATATTTAAGGATAGATCTTTATTTTTAAAATTTTTTCCTATAAGTTATTCAAGTACAGGTGGTATTTGGTTACATGAGTAAATTCTTTTTTTGTTTGTTTTTGAGAGGGAGTCTCGTTCTGTTGACCAGGCTGGAGTGCAGTGGCACAGTCTCAGCTCACTGCAACCTTCACCTCCTGGGCCGAAGCAATTCTCCTGCCTCAGCCTCCCGCGTAGCTGGGATTATAGGCAAGCACCACCATGCCCAGCTGATTTTTGTATATTTAGTAGAGACAGGGTTTCACGACTTTGGCCAGGCTGATCTCGAACTCCTGATCTTGTGATCCACCCACCTCAGCTTCCTAAAGTGCTGGAATTACAGGCATGAGCCACTGCGCCCAGCCTACATGAGTAAGTTCTTTACGGGTGATTTGTGAGATTTTGGTGCACCCATCACTGGAGCAGTATACACTGCAACATATTTGTAGTCTTTTATCCCTCGTCCCCCTTCTACTCTTCCCCTCAAATCCCCAAAGTCCACTGTATTATTCTTATGCCTTTGCATCCTCATAGCTTAGCTCCCACATATCAAAACATACAATGTTTGGTTTTCAACTCCTGAGATACTTCACTTAGAATAATAGTCTCCAGTCTCATCCAGGTTACTGCAAATGCTGTTAATTCGCTTTTTATGGCTGTGTAGTATTCCATTGTATATATATACCACAGTTTCTCTATCCACTTGTTGATTGATGGGCATTTGGGTTGGTTCCATGATTTTGCTGTTGTGAAATGTGCCACTATAAACATGCACGTGCAAGTATCTTTTTCGAATAATGACTTCTTTTCCTCTGGGTCGATACCCAGAAGTGGGATTGCTGGATCAAATGGTAGTACAACTTTTAGTTCTTTAAGGAATCTCCACATTGTTTTCCATAGTGGCTTTTCTAGTTTACATTCCTACCAGCAATGTAGAAGTGTTCCCTGTTCACCACATCCATGCCAACATCTACTGTTTTTTGATCTTTTGATCATGGCCATTCTTGCAGGAATAAGATGGTATCGCATTGTGGTTTTGATTTGCATTTCCCTGATCATTAGTGATGTTGAGGATTTTTTCATATGTTTGTTGGTCACTTGTATATCTTCTTTTGAGAATCGTTTATTCATGTCCTTAGTCCACTTTTTGATGGGATTGTTTGGTTTGTACTGATTTGTTTGGGTTTGTTGTAGATTGTTTTGTACTGATTTGTTTGGGTTTGTTGTAGACTCTAGATATTAGTCCTTTGTCAGATGTATAGATTGTGAAGACTTTTTCTCACTCTGTGGGTTGTCTGTTTACTCTGCTGACTGTTCCTTTTGCCGTGTAAAAACTATTTAGTTTAATTAGGTCCCAGATATTTATCTTTGTTTTTATTGCATTTGCTTTTGAGTTCTTGGTCGTGAAATCCTTGCCTAAGCCAGTGTCTAGAAGGGTTTTTCCAATGTTATCTTTTATAATTTTTATAGTTTCCGATCTTAGGTTTAAGTCCTTAATCCATCTTGAGTTGATTTTTGTATAAGATGAGAGATGAGGATCCAGTTTCATTCTCCTACATATAGCTAGCCAGTGATCCCAGTACCATTTGTTGAAAAGGATGTCCTTTCCCCACTTTATGTTCTTGTTTGCTTTGCTGAAGATCAGTTGGCTGTAAGTATTTGGGTTTATTTCTGGGTTCTCTATTCTGTTCCATTGGTCTGTGTGCCTATTTTTAAACCAGTAACATGCTGTTTTGGTGACTATGCCCTTATAGTATAGTTTGACATCAGGTAATGTTATGCCTCCAGATTTGTTGTTTTTGCTTAGCCTTGTTTTGGCTATGCAGGCTCTTTTTTGTTCCATATGAATTTTAGAGTTTTTTTAATTCTGTGAAGAATTATGGTGGTATTTTGATAAGGACTGCACTGAATTTGTAGATTGCTTTCGGCAGTATGGTCATTTTCACAATACTGATTCTACTCATCCATGAGCATGGGATCTGTTTCCATTTGTTTGTGCCATCTATGATTTCTTTCAGCAGTGTCAGGTGTATTTTTTTTGGCTTGGTAATTTCCAATAAAATTTCAAGGCTGTTTAAGAATGCTACCAAGAAAAAGAATAGGGGAAATGTGTTTCCCATTTTGGCTGTAGAAAATGAATACATTTTCACAAGAAAATGTAGTAGATAACTGGTGAGTTACATAGATTCATGAAAGCATCAGTTGCTCTTTTTGCAGGGTAAATTTGTGACAGTGAATATCTCTGTTCAAATCCTGTTATCTTGATTTCTGAGTTTTATGCGAAATTTTATTTGAAACTTGGTACCTCCTAGACATGTTTCCATATGGCTAATTGTTTACTATATGACTCTTAATGGAAATAATAAAATAATGCATTTATTGTTTGAAAGGAATAGATATTTTTGCTTTTCTTATTGAGATATGAAATACAAGCACTCTAAAGTTTTCTTTTCTTATGTCAACGCTGTGTTTGAGAAACTGCTGGATTTATTTTTTTATTTTTATATTTTTTGAGATGGAATTTCACTCTTGTTGCCC